TCTCAAAAAAAAAAAAAAAAAAATGTTAAGTGCTATAAGTGCTTATAATGAAGGATCAGAAAAACCTTCCCTTAGGGAAACGGAGCTGTTGTCTGAAAAATGAGTAGGAAAAAGGGATAGGCAGGGCATTCCAGGGAAAGGGGAACTGTATGTACAGAGGCCTGGTAGTAGAAGTATATGGTAAGTGCAAGGGAGGAAAAAAGGCTAGTGTGACTAGAATGGAGAGGATGTGTGAGATGAGGCTAGGGTAACAGACTGGGGAGGGGGGTTGCAGTGAGAGATGAAGAGTATCAGGCAGCTAATCCAGCTGGAAGGCTAATGTAAGACTTCTGGCAAGCTTGGATCATGACTTGGACCAAAGCAGTGGAGTTGGAGATGGGAAAAGACAAATGAGTTCTTTAAGAAGTACACATGGAAAGGATTTGCAGGTTGATTGGGATTGGATTCTTCGCAGTAGCTCTTATATTGGTTTCTAAGTCTGAGGGTAGAAATCTTGAGTTTCTTTGCTAAGGTTCCATAGACAATTTTGTATTAAAAACATCCTGGGTCCAGGGTTAGGGACAGACCTCCCTTGTGTTTCATCCTTAAAGGTCAGCTTTTTGTGTAATGAGCACCATTACAAAAAGGGGAACACAAAGTGAATTTTGTGTAAATTATGATGGATCTCAGGATATGGCCAAAGTTGAAGTGCTATATTCTCTAGTTATAAAATGAATATTTTCTATGATCATTATCTGTATAAAATCACCCTTTATAATGAAAAATTATCCTATACCACCTATGAGATTTAGCATCACTGCCAATATTGGGAGGTGCTACCCTTTTGTGTGATTTTTTCTGGCTACCTCCCATTTTTAAAGCAAAGGAATACCTGGCAGTATGAAACAAGGCAGTCCCATCTCTTTGTCTTTTGACAAGTGAAAGGATAGTGTTCACTTTCTCTAGTCACCCCTTGTTACTGACCTTAGTGAAGACTCAGAGTAGGGATCACAGGAGACAACTTTAATCCATTGCCTTCTATTCTACCACTTCCCGCTGTCAGTCAATGCATACACTCAAAAATGCTGTTCCCACTTGGAAACCCAGGACATAGCTCTTGTTGTGAGTACCTCAAGGGTGCCCTGGGTCATGTGTAACAATGGCAGTAATTACTGCAAGATTTCATACATATATGCATATATGTGCATACACACAGTGGTGGAACATTTTGCATTGTGTTTGAACACAAACAAGTGAACACTAATATAATATTTTGTATGGAATACATGTTTTATTATGAGGAAGTCTGTATGATGAAATGGAAGTGATTATGAAAAAATATGCATATAGTCACTTAGCATTCTTTTGTAATAGAATTATTCTCTGTACATATGTATATGCCGAACAGTTATTAAGCATTAAGAGAACTATTTTTTGAAAAAAAGGTCCTTTTACATAGCTGTCCAAAAATTCTGCGGTGAAGTATTTGATGGCCATTTCACATTCTAGTCTATAGTTCTTTCTTATACGGGTAATCTGTGGATGCATATAGCATGAGCATTCTTGGTGGTCATACTGTCTGATTCATTTTCTTTGGCAGAATGCCCTTCTACCTGCAGGGTTCCGGCAGAAGAACCAGACGTCAAAGTCCGCCACAGGGCCATTCGATAGAGAACATCTCCTTTCGTATCTGGAGAAAGAAGCCTTGGAGCATAAGGACAGGGAAGACTATGTGCCCTACACTGGAGAAAAAAAAGGTAAACACAGAATTTTGAAGTTATTATGTGATAACACTTGATTTTTCTTTTTATTAATAGGTATGGAGAAAAATCTTATTTTTAGAGGTACATTATTAGTAGTCTTAAAGATACGATACTCTTGACTTAAAAATTTGTTAGGTAGTTTAGACACTTTATTTACATTTTTCATCATCTTGGCCAGTAAGTTTCTTCTTAATGATTTGTTAGTGAGGTTTTATTACATAGTGATTTTTGTATAACACTCCTTAGTTCTCTACTATAACAAATATAAAAGTATACTGAGGGAAACTTTTAAATTCACTAGTGTGTTACAGAGTGCAAATGATGTTAAAGCACTGCTCTATTCTAACTCCTGTCTTTAAGGTGGAATGTCATGGAACAATTCATGCCATATTTTCAAAGATCCTTTTTTTTAGTTGGAGTCTCACTCTGTCGCCCAGGCTGGGGTGCAGTGGCACACACACGTCCACCCCAGCATCAACCAGCTGGGCTCCGGCAATCCTTTCACCTCAGTCTTCCAAGTAGCTGGAACTACAGGCACACGCTACCACACCCAGCTAGTTTTTGATTTATTGTAGAGACGAGGTCTCGCTAAGTTGCTGGGACTGGGCCCAAACTGGTGGGTTCAGGCAATCCACTTGCCTCGGCCTCCCAAAGTGCTGGGATTACAGACTGAGCCACCAAGCCCAGCCTCAAAGACCCTTTTTAAAAGATATCCTGCAACTTTCCTTTGTAATTCATGGTTATGCTTGCTAATGATTCATAATCATTACTTTGAGGAAATTTTTCTAGTCCAAGTACCTCCTATTGTAGTGTTTCATCTTATATAGCCTCAGGGGAGCCTAAGAGCAACTGTGTTTTAAAAATTTCTGTATATAATTAAATGAAAGAGGATGAGTTTCTCAGCGTTCACAACAGGTTAGAATACGGGTTGGCCTGAAAATCCAAATCTATATGCACTCTATTTGGAATAGCATGTCTAGGATACTGGGGAAAGGTAGCAGCAGGAGCAGAGCTGAAGGTCAGCTCTTCCAGGCACTGTTTCTAATAGGCAGGAAGAATAGGTTAGAGCACAGTGCTTTCTCTGGCTTTTTATTTGGGAAAGAAGCCCTTCTCAAGAATTTTGGCCAGAACTATGTCACATGGCTACCCTGTAGCTGCAAGGGAAGCAGGAAAGTCCATCTTAGCTCCTCTAGCCTCTACAGTAGAGGAAAGCTAGTGAATGACTTTTGAGTGAGTACGCCATGAGGTCTGTGTCAGACTTTTTCGGAATTATGTATTACCCCAGACCTGCTGCCCTTTCTTTAGATTTCACCACCTCTCCATCTTTCATTAAGGATTGCTACCTTTGCTTCTTATATTTACTAGTCATGGTTCTCCAGAGAAACAGAAGCAACAGGATGTAGGAGGAGATGTATTTTAAGGAATTGGCTCATGAGATTGTGACAGCTTTATAAATTCAAATTTCAGCAGGCTGGAGACCCAGGGAAGATTGGGCCATTCCTGTCCAAAGGCAGTCTGCCGGAAGAATGTCTTATTACTTGGAGATGCCAGTCTCTGTTCTATTAAGGCCTTCAATGGACTTAATAAATCCTAGCCACATTATGGAGATTAATCTGCTTTACTCAAAATTCACTGATTTAAATGTTAATCTCATCCAAAAAAAAAAACACCTTAACAGAAACTTTCAGAATAATGTTTGACCAAGAATAATGTTTGACCAAGGCCCAGCCCAGTTGGCACTTACAAAATGAGCCATCACACTGTTGTTAGAGATAGAAGTGTCATGTCCGTCCTTCAGGTGTTTGAGGCCAGGAAAAAGGTTGAAAACAAGTACAGAGTTCTGAAGTGTGGAGAGTCACAGAAATAGGCAAAGGCATCTGTTCCTTTGTACTTGTTATAGAAAAGACTGCTGGTTATATTTCTTTGTACAGCAGTACCTATATCAGAGTTTATAGTTTAAATTCTATTTAAATAAGATAACATAATTTTATGAGGAAAATATTGGTTGATCACCTTTTACTATTCTGCATGTTTCATGTGGACTTTACGTGTGTAATTCAGAAGAGAAATAGAGGTAGAAAAGGGGAGAGAGGTGAGAAAAAGAGGTATCAGAAAAAAAAACAATGAAATTTGAGGACAAGAAGGAGAAAAAATAAGAGACCTGAAAGAGACCTGCATTTATCCCAAGCTAACCCAGTTACCTGGGAAAAGATCTTGGAGGACTAAAGGATATAGGAAAGAAAGTAGAGAAGAATTGTGGAAAATAAGAAAATATGAGAGGGGGATAAAATGATAGAGGTGAGGAATATAAGTGACAATGGGGGAAAAATGCTATATTCTCAACTATGATGGAATAGTTTTGTCTTTTGTATCTTTTAAAAATTCTCCTTCCTGGCCAGGTGTTGTGGCTAATGCCTATAATTCCAGCACTTTGGGAGACTGAGGTGAGAGGATTGCCTGAGCCCATGGATTCGAGACCAGCCTGGGCAACTTGGAGAGACCTCATCTCTACAGTAAATCAAAAAATTAGCTGGGTGTGGTGGTGCACGCCTGTGTAGTTCCAGCTACTTGGAAGGCTGACGTGGAAGGATCACCTGAGACCAGCAGGTTGAGGCTGCGGTGGCTGTGAGCATGCCACTGTATTCTAGCTGGGGCGACAGAGTGAGATTCCAACTCAAAAACAAACAAACAAAAAAATTGTCCTTCCTACTTTAGGTTTTAAATGGGCAAGAAATAAATAGAGATAGTTGAATTTAAGAGCAAGTAATTTTACATTCATAATCAGTGGTTTTATCTTCATAATGCATTCAGTATTTTTACTACCTCTTTTAGCTACATAGATCTATTAAATACTGTTTATGGGCAGCTGTGATGCAGTGATTAAGACCATAGCATTCTTTTACAAATAATGAACTTGTAGTTGCCTACAGAAAATACACAAATTATCAGTATATAGCTCAGTGAATTATAAGGTGGACACACCTGTGTAGTCAACACCCAGGTAAAGATATTATTAGCACTTGAAGGCCTCTTCATGCTTCTTCACAGTAATGCTTCCCTTTTTTCTTCCCAAAGGTAACAGCCAATGCTTCTAGAACAGTCTGGGCATCTGCCTTGCCTATGTCACACAGTGTTTGTGAAGGCCAAATTTGTTTTTGTTTTTGCTTTTTTAGAGAAGGGAACTTGCTGTGTCACCTAGGCTGGAGTGCAGTGTCACAGTCATACATAGCTCACTGCAGCCTTAAACTCCTGAGTTTAAGAGATTCCCCCGCCTCAGCCCCCTAAGTAGCTGGAGTTACAGGCACAAGTCACTCCACCTGGCTGAGAACGAAATATTTTTAATGCATGCAGTGAAATCACTGTAAAAGACCATATGGGTGATTATTACCAAATAAGAGATTTTCATTCTCAGTCATGGAGGAGTCACCCAGAACCAAGGGAATGAGTTTTCAAATTTCAATAATCCAGCTGATGGAAGCACAAGCTATCAGACTAGGCAGAGTCAAGCCTTATAAGCCATGTCACCGTGCAATAGACCTGAAGAAGGATAAATTCCTCTTCTGTAATTGAAAAACTTTGACTGTGGAGCTCTGCTTTGAAATACAGCAAAAAACCAGCTCTAGTGTTCTCAAACCTACCCTAGACTCTCATCCTTAAATCAGTTAGCCTGGGTTACCCTTAGGAATATGCCATCCTTTCTCTGTATTCATCTCCCCGATCCTGATCACATTACAGAAGATCCTCAGAATAATTTATATGTCTTATCAGCATACTTCCCAATCAAGCTACATGTGAATCCTCTCCCTCCTAAGCTCCAAAAATCCAAAAGCTTGTTTTTATAAAAATGCCTTTCCCAGCCGGGCTCGGTGGCTCAGCCTGTAATCCCGCGCCTTTGGGAGGCTGAGGTGAGTGGATTGCCTGAGCCCGCGGGTTCGAGACCCGCCTGGGCAGCGAGACCTCATCTCTACAATAAATCAAAAAATCAGCCGGGCGTGGTAGTGCGCGCCTGTAATTCCAGCTACTCGGAAGGCTGAGGCGGAAGGATCCCCGGAGCCCAGCAGGTCGAGGCTGTGGTAGCCGGGAGCGGCCACTGCACTCCAGTCTGGGCGACAGAGTGAGACTCCAACTCAAAAAAAAAAAAAAATGCCTTTCCCATGACTCTTTTCTGTGAACACCTGAATTGAGTCCCAGTTTTTTTATTTTTTACTTAATAGCTTATTTTAGAGGAAATAGATTTTCAGATTGAGGATGCTTTCCTGGATAGTAGAGATATTCCTAGTTCTTCATAAAATAGTTTGCTAATTTACTTCTCTTTGAGAAGCAGAAGCATTGCACCTTTTGGATATACTTGACCTAGTTAGAATTTGTAAGCTATTCTGTTGGTCTCTAAACTAAATGATTTTTCATTCAAAGATGACTGGCCTCAGAGTTCAGTACCCAATGACAGTATATATAAGCTTTCTGTACCAAGTTCAGTACCCAGTGGCAGTATTAACTTTCTATACTAGGGAAGTTATAGCAGTGCCACTCAGTTCCTTGAATTCTTTCCAAGTTATACATCAAAATCACGTAATGATCTCTTACCATAAATTGTTTTTAAGGATGTATCAGATGACTGCTCAATTTTTTTAAAAGCAAAAATTTGAGACCCACTCGAAGGATTTCTTACCCAATCATTAGACTCAACTGTAGTCTAAGACTAACTGACAATTATTGATACTTGCTATTCTTTTTTTTTTTTTTTTTTGAGTTGGAATCTCACTATGTCGCCCAGACTGGAGTGCAGTGACCGCTCCTGGCCACTGCAACCTCGACCTGCTGGGCTCTGGCGATCCTTCTGCCTCAGCCTTCCAAGTAGTTGGAACTACAGGCGCATACTACTACGCCCGGCTAGTTTTTGATTTATTGTAGAGATGAGGTCTCACCAAGTTGCCTAGGCGGGTCTCGAACCCGCGGGCTCAGGCAATCCACTCACCTCAGCCTCCCAAGGCGCA